GTGTGTGTGTACCATCCATAGAGATATAATAAGAATACTAGAGCGCTAACTGCAATGTATTTGATGTTGGAAATACGCAGAGCTGTGTGTGTGTACCATCCATAGAGATATAATAAGAATACTAGAGTGCTAACTGCAATGTATTTGATGTTGGAAATACGCAGAGCTGTGTGTGTGTACCATCCATAGAAATATAATAAGAATACTAGAGCGCTAACTGCAATGTATTTGATGTTGGAAATACGCAGAGCTGCGTGTGTGTACCATCCATAGAGATATGATAAGAATACTAGAGCGCTAACTGCAATGTATTTGATGTTAGAAATACGCAGAGCTGTGTGTGTACCATCCGATATGGCTGCCATACATTTAGCCAATCAAATTTCCCCTAAGCGCCATCGTTTGCAATTGCGCCCTCAATTTACACAAAAGTTCAGCACAGCTAGTTACCCGTATGTTTGAAACTCGAGCGTTGCGGTGTATTGGTGTAATGTACACGATTTTAATTTTCATTCCTTGGAACTTTATTTTTAAATAAGGTGCTCCACTTGGCCTCGTTTTGGCTACAATAGTTTAAAAATTTGTTATTACCATTACTGATTATCATTAATGAAATAATAGTCAGTCAGAGGCCTTAATTATGGTAATAATATGTATACTAAGCCTGAAGGTGGTGCTTTACTACGACGGCCATCTTGGATGGTACACATACATAACCCTGCATTGCTTTGCCATCTTGTCAGCACTCTGGTTGTTTTAATAGCTCTATGACAACATATCAAAACAATTGTTTTCCTCCATGGCCTGACTTTAACACATCTTAAATATACTCTGCTGTCTGTGATACCTATTGGCACTAACATCTGAGAGACAATTGATAGGCCTAATACAGTATTAAAAATTGGAAAAACGTACAAATACTGTGAATTTGCGGGAGATAAGTTTATTTTACCAGAGATTCGTGCTTGCTCGCAGGAGAGAGAGGGAGGCCGTCCCAATTTCTGGGAGACTTCCGGGAGACTTGGGTGCTGATTGATACTAAAGCCACTAATGCCTGATTATTGAGGATTATTAAATCTCGAGACGCTCGGATTAAAATTTAAAGCCATTACTGCTGTGGCTTAGTAGCTTAACTTCCAAGTCATTGTTATGTCTTCCTTCTAAATTCTAAACTGATTTTTCCTTTTTAATTTAGATTGCAGTGTGTATAGAGAGACTTAAAAATTGCCAAATTGATCAAGAAGGGAAAATGAACCAGAGTGACGTGCTGGAGTTGTGCGGCGATCTGCACGATGGAGACGCAGCATCTATGCAATTGAAGGTTATTAAATATGTAAGTCAGTCAATAATTTTTTTCCTAAAAGTCCTAAATAGTAATAGTAATAATAATAATAATAATGTTATTTTTTCATTATTATTATTATTATTATAGTTAGTAATAATAATAATGTTATTTTCTTCATTATTATTATTATTATTATTATTAGTAGTAATAATTAATCTTTATTTTTTATTCTTTCCATTTCCAAACATCTCTATACTTGTGTTTATTGCACATAGAGACTTTGTATTTTGCTATAATTGCTATAATATTAATGATGTTAATAAAAATAATGATAATACTTATAAAGAATAATTCTTTGAAGAATGGTGACGCGCGTAAAGGATTGTTTTTATGCCCGGCTTAGCACACAACACAATTGCATTATTTTATAGAGCATAATTATGATTTATTTTTCTCAACTTAGCAAATATTTAATATACCACTACAATGCAAAAGAATAAGTGATTTGAATTTATTTGGAAGCACTGAACACAAATAAACATTACAATAGATAAACATGAATTAAAAGGTACAGAAGTCTTCCATGGATAACCCAAAAAAGCGGGTAAATACCATTCCAGCTTATTTCCATTGGGGTCCATTAAATACACACAAGTACAATAAAGGCATTAAATCGGTAAAACAATAAAACATACAAAATATACAATCATATGGATAAAAATTATCCAAAATTCATTGAGAAGAATAATATACCATTTATAATGCAAAAGAATAAATAAAATTATCCAAAAATTCATTTAGAAGAATAATATACTATTACAATGCAAAAGAATAAATAAAATTATCTAAAAATTCATTTTGAAGAAAAGATATAGTACACATTATTATATGAATATACAAAGAAATAATGGAAAAGTTTACTTCAACAAATATATCTTTAATTCTCTCTTAAATACAGTATTTGATTTGTGTAGGGTATATTCTGGATTCCCATTCCATCGTCTAGCACCCGAACACCCAATAGAGAAATGTCCCACTTTACTTTCATATTTTGGAGTAGTCAGATGAAGTTGTTGAAGGAAAATCTATGTTACTGCTGTCATAAACAGATAAAAGTAATTAAAATTCATGTTGTTTATAAACGTTAAGGATTGCCAATTCTATAAATATTGATGATGTGTGTACTAATCTGTCTGAATGAGTTATAGTATAGTGCGTACAATTATTTTTTGAGTAAAATGTATTGCTTTTTAAGTGTGTCATATATGTGTACTTCCCCAGACCTCAAGTGCATATGAAATATGTGACAAAACAATTATATAACTAACAGAATTGATGAAGGAATACATTTTTTTAATTTAGTTATTCCAATGTGAACTGTAGATTCTGCTTCATCAATTTGTGCTCCTTTAATGTAAATTGCACCATTTGGTTGGACCACTGTATGTTTACCACTGAAAATAATATATTTGGTTTTATTGTTAATTGGTTTTAAATCACACCAGTCTGCAATGTGTTTCAATTGCTTATTTACATACTTCAACTCAATATTATCATATGAATGAAAAGTATGGAATAAGCTGGTATCTGCAAAAAGACGAGTGTCAAAGTTAATTTATTTATTTTATTTATTTGAACATACACCTTTGAATCGGTGGCACTCAATATCAATTGGTGCGTTCGTACAAAAAAAAAAGGGGGAAAATTTAACAAACAAAATGAATAACAATCGACTGTAAATAATATTACAAAATTAAAGAAAGGTAGAAAAATAACATATGAAATTAGATGAGATATTGCAATCATTACAAGAAAGAAGAAGCTATGTAGGGGGTAACACACACTCGTTTGGTACACCACACGTTAGTGGGAGTCCATTTTTATCAATCCCATTTATACTATCAAACTGTTTTCCATTATTTAATTCAATTGAGCAATTTCTTAAGGGGTTTCAAGGTTTTACCATAGCAGATATTGAATGTTAACAAAATAGTATAAAACAATATCACGTTCAAGTTCAACTTTATTTAACCACGATCAAAACGGTTCTTCCCTTGGGCTGTGCATATACATACAAAAGAAAATTATACAATGACCTTTATAAGATAAGCTTCGTTTTTTATATGCACTCTTTGGTAATGGCAATACTACAGCATTTAAATGGCTATGTCTAAGTTATAATTATTTGAACAGTATTGAAATATAGGAAGGATTGATCATTGAGTAATAGATAGTAAGGAAATGCTGAGAAAAAAGTTATTTGCAACATTATTACTACACTGCTAAATGAACCTGTTATTTTGCTATGAATTTTTTTTTCATAGTGAAATATGTAATGTAATGATGGAACACAGATTAATAAATAAATGTCAGGAAAAGAGTGCTTAACAGGAAAAGAGTTACTAAGTACGTAGGCTTACATTAAAGTGATTTGCTACTGTCATGCTTTTATCCTGATAATTTCAATGATGTAAAATACTTATTGATAGTGTGCATTGGTTGGAGATAATTTAGAATTTCACAGAGCATCATTTATTGGTTAAAATTGAAGGGCTTATCATGGTTATTAATCATTATTACTCTAGAATTTGGACATTTTACCACAATTATTATTGTGAAAGCCATTTAACATTATTTTCCAACCCTCTTTGACAATCTTTTAGAAATATGGTTTTCTTAAATGAGGTATAAAAGTGTGTTGTCTTCTATGCCACCTCCCAGGAATGCAAGTGGGTACCTGGAAGGTTAAAGGTCAAGTGCAAGGTATAATTGTGACATTGGAATATTCATACGTGAGGCATATGGACAGGACATTGAGAGATTTTATGTAAGCCCAAGCCATGAGATGAGTCAAGTGTCCGAGCAGAGCAAAGGCCCGGCTATATCCTTAGGAATGCACTGGTTTGAGTTGAGATACTCGCAGATGGTTCGATTGGTAGAACCAAGTCGTCTCAGATTAGCACTTAAAACCGAAGGTTCAATGTGTCTTACTTGTGCTGTGCACTTTAAAGAGCCAATTGAGTGTTTGCCAGTGTCCTAGTATATTTCAGCCCCTATATTGTGAAATTATGTGAATATTTATAGGCTATAGTCTAGATGCCATCAACAGTGAGCATCTGTGAATCATGATCTTGCGAACTACCCTGTACTCAGTGGTTTTAAATTGCAAGAAAACGATACAATGGTGATGGTTCCTGAAGCCCGTAGCCAGGAGGTTTTTATTGTTCAGGCAAACCCCCTTTCCTGGCAAAGCCCCTTTTTTATCTGGCGAACATCCCCCTTCCCCTTCCCCTTGAATTTCCCAAACAAGTCTTTAAATCAAAATAATGCACTGTAGACACACCCAGACAGACAGAATGTTTGCTGCTGAACTTTCTCAAACATAAATGCTATTATAACATTGTTTAGACCCATGAAATACTAAAATCCTCTGGCTTCAGGGGTTTCACTGACCTCACCTGGGCCTTTCCCCTGGACCCCATGCTCAGAGAACCTCATCCCCCTCTTTGAAGAACCTGGCTAATGGCCTCTTCATTTACAGTAGTCTGTTATTTTGCTTTGTGGCTTCATTGGTGTCCAAGAGGATTTTGTTTTTAGCATCAGTGCATAGAGACGATGCACAGTATTATCGTTATACAAATCCCAAACCATTACCATGGTATTTTACTATTAACAACTACTGTAATCGCTGACCATGCTCATGTATACGCTGTAGCACAATGACCTTGCATGTTGTGAATTATCCTCGGATTTCTCTATTCATGTTGTTTCTTGCTCAATGTTTTTAATAATCTTTTGTTTTTGTTTATTTTTATAGTTGGAGAAACATACCAAGTCTGAGTGTTGTGCGCTATTAGTAGTATCGGAGGATACAACTGAGTTGTTTTGTCAAGTAAGTTTTAAACCACAACTTGAGTATTATTTGTTAATATGTTCGCTCACAATATTTAACTAAAATGACCCAATCAGTCGAATGACTGGTATCCATTGGGACCCTGAGAACAAAGATAAAATTTAAAATGAAATAGAAAGACTGAAAAACATCAAAGTAAATGCAGTGTAAAAATACAATTTCAGAAATCAAAAATCCATAACATTGATGCCTTAAAGTTATTCATAAAATATATTTATATTTGTTGAAAATTAGATTGTATAACTTTAAAATCCATTAATTTTAGCATTATGTTACCATGTCATTCTTGCATTATGTTACCATGTCATTCCCACACCAACTTTTTAGAACAATAACAATTTTTTTTTTTATCACTGTCAAATCCATTAAATAATTTTGTATTTTTGTATAGAACTTTAACATTATGTGCTATTATTAAAATTATCTGATATTTTAACAATTTAAAGTAAAGGTAAAGGTAGTATCTAAAATAACCCATAACTTGCAGTGTGATTGTGCTGAATTGTCTGTAATTTTTTTTTAAATTGATTATTTTGATCTGCATCAAATAGAAATTTTTTTCATCGTTTTATTCAACGTTCATGTTTTAGTGCTTTCCAAATTTCAGCAGAAACACCAGGACAGTGCCTTAAGCCAATAACTGATTACGCTAGCATCTCCATACCTGTCTTTTATAGAATTATCATCCATTAATAATATTTTAAGTCAATCGTGACGTCATCACTGTAACGCCCAATGTTATTTTCCTATTCCAAACCATGCACTATTTTTCTATTAGTGCATGTTTTACTTGACATTTTTCCAGTTTGTGTGCAAAAGGTCAATAATATTTAGGTTTTTATGTACGTAATTGAATTTCTACAGTGGTTTAATAAATAACCAGGCCAATGTATACATTTATGTTTATTCTGACACTTTTCTAGCTTGCTTCTAATAATGATGCTCAAATCAATAGAAATCGTATTTGAAAAGACTAATAATAGACACTGTAGCTTGTGTTTTTGTGAGTGGCAATAATGCACACTATACTATTTGCTAATACTTAATATATGTTGTTTGTGATTAAATTACACCATATGTTGACAATGTCACCAATGCTAATTCCTCACAACTACGAAAAATTACATTTTGTTTGTTTTGGATGTTCAGTAAACTATTCAACAATGCATTCATTCATTTTTATTTATTTATTGTTTTATATTTGTTTATTTTTTAAATTTTATATATTTATTTACTTGTCACAGATAAAATATGTATTGACAAGGAGCTCCATCTGTAATCCATATTACTAGCCTGTATCCTAGCCCCATATATAGTCTTCCTACATACCTAGTCCACACCCTAGCCCCGTTTCCCTAGTCCACATCCCGGACAACAAACATTCTGACCCCCTCCCTACTCTTATTTATTCTCATCATGCTAAGCCACAGGATTCCAATGTAAAGCGTTTCTGGCTTGTGTTCCAACTGCCAGCAAAATGAATTTGTATATTATATGTATTCATAAATTTTTTATTGATTTTGTTCAATGTGTTTGAATTTATGAATTTTTGATACCATATGTCTTGAATAGGTAATTGACATTTTTTAACGCTACATGAAACATCCTCACTAAATATTGATTGTTGGTAGACATTACAAATTCAAGGCACAAATATTTTAGGGGTAAATATGACAGGGAAAACCAAGAACAATGTACTTGATAATGTAAGCAAAGGTAGAGCTTGCAAAAGAGAGCATTGTTATTAGGCCAATTAAAAAGAAAAGTAGTTTCTCGTCCTAATATTTTTTTCGAAAAAGGAGAATGAAGGCACTTTTTGTTAAAACTCCGAGAGGGCAAATCCAAAATGTCGATGGGAAACAGCTACTACTTTCTCAATTTACCAAGTAGACACATTGAAAGCAAGTAAAGAATAACTAAACAGGATTCATACCATATACTATGTATCCTGAAGCCACAAACAATCGAGAGGAATTTTACTGATGTGAGTTAGCCAGATATTCGTACATTTCATAAAACAAAGGAAATAAAAAAAATTGAAAAATTGTTGAGGCAGAGAAAATGGAGGCGGAGGGGATGAGAAACTAGTAATTCTTTCTGTTAAGCTCCTAGCTCGGTAAATAACTATTGTATGCCCATATATAGTGATGATGCGACTATATATGGTCCTGCTGTGCCTATATATGGTCATGATGTGATGTCATCATAATCATATTTACGCTTGTCAAAAAGAATTTGGTAATGTGGACATGGCTTTAAGCTCCTAGCTTTGTCCAGGTTATCAAATATTCCTTGAAAAAAAAAACTATTGTATGCCCATATATAGTGATGATGCGCCTATATATGGTCGTGCTGTGCCTATATATGGTCATGCTGTGCCTATATATAATCATGATGTGCCTATATATGGTCATGATGTGCCTATATATAATCATGATGTGCCTATATATGGTCATGATGTGCCTATATAAGGTCAGGGTGTTCCTATATATGGTCATGACGTGGTTTTGATCTTTTACAGGTAATTGGAAACAAGCTTCTAGAGCCTGAAGTTCGATTTGCTGTAAGTCTGTTTTTTTATTCATTTTGATTAATTGATCAGATTCTCTGCTTTTATTGCATGCTTACAGCATAATTGATGAGTGCTTATTAGTTCTTGTGAGAAACATCGGAAGTTGCCACTTAACCAAAGGAAGTTGTCTAACACATGTGTTTGACATACATACGTTTCATTTCATTTCATTCTGGTTTTTATTAAAAAATTGGACATTGCAGTACAAAACTGAATTGTGTCAATTTACATACACATCTAAAAAATCAAGAGAGAAAAAAGAATAATTGTCACAAGATGATCATGGGTTTTTACATTAATGTATTTTGATTAAGAAAAAGGAGCAATATTGCGGTATTAACATAATTATTTTTACAAATTCTGAGAAAAAGTTAAGCGAAGGTCACAATATCATAATTTATTTGATCACACCAAGTCACAATATCATAATTGATTTGATCACACCAAGTCATTTTTTATTAAAGAGGGTAATGTTATTTTTTTAATCTTTCCGTACGACACTTATACTGTAATGGTTTGTTAACATTTCTTAGTTTTCAAAATTTGCTTCAGAACGGGTTTTGGGAAGAGAATAATCCATATTTCCATGGACTGTCCCCCCAAACTTAGTATACATTGTGTAATAAATACTTAGATATACACGTAGCAATTATAGTGGAAGTGTGACATGTTGGTTAAGGTGCCAGTTTTCTAATTCCAGGGACTGGGTTCAAATCCATCCATTCATCAGTAATTAATCTATTGGCAGCAAACTCCTGGAGCTTTGTCCACACTCTCAAATTTTATGGGAGAAATTTATTTATTCTTTCTTTTGACTGCATAGCATTTTTAATAACGCAATACTGCTTTTCAAAATGGTCCAGTTTTCTTAACAAAGTTAAGAATATAAGCAAAAGCAAAAAAATTAAACATAAATGTGATATGCTCATATTTGGGTGTAATATGACATCATGGTCATGTATGGGTATATCACACAAATTTGTAACATAATAAAACCGAAAGATTATTAATCTCAGATAAGATAGTATAATACACACTCGAAGTATCGAAATGCACGCAATCGTGTTGGGATTCAATATTTCGACATTAATTATGTCATCATCAGGAATTCCTGATGATGACATAATTAATATCGAAATATTAAATCCCGACACGATGGCGTGCATTTTCATACTTGGAGTATGTATTATACTATCTTGTAACATAATATTTGATAGAATTGACATATTTACATCTGACATGGGAGAACCTAGAAGGGTCATTCTCTGTATATTTATACCTGTAAGCTTTAAATAAACAAATCAATGAAAATTTATTAGCAACTTTATTACAAAAATTGTTTATTAAATTTTACCCCCATTGCTGTAAGAGCCACTCTTGGTAAGGGGGTAAAAGAATGAAAAAATAAAGCTCTATCCAGTATATACATGCAGTGTATTTATACAGTGTTTATTCATTATAGCGGCAGTTTGAGCTTTCAATCGTAAGGTCGGAGTTTCAAGTCTCTGCTGTACAGATTAACTTGTGTCCTTGGGCACTTTAGCTACATTGCTTCAATCCACCCAGCTGTATCAATGGGTACCAGCAAACTGCTGGGGACTAGCCTGCGATGGACTAGTGTCCCGTCTAGGGGGAGTACAACTCTCATCCGCTTCACACTGCAGAAACTGGGGATAGGCTCCAGCCCTATGAGCCCCAGTGGGATTTAGTTAGTTATATATTCAGTCTATTTTATTTGACAAAAAAATTGTACATGCCCATATATTGACATGCTTATATACGCGGTTATGGTGTGATGTCATCATGACCATATTTAGGCATGTCACATGTGTCAAGTAAAATTTGATAGAGTGCATAGGGCCTAAGGAAGGAGATAGTTTGAATAGGATTACAATATTGATAATGACAATTTGATGTGTCACATTTTCAGAAAAAGTCACAGTGCACTTTTCAATGAAAAAGAAGGGAAAAATCATCAGAAGATTGCAATAAATCATTGCTAGACTAAATATTTATTCAAATAAATGCCCCGGATTGAATAAATTCCCCCTCAAGTAAAATTTTTCCCCAGAACGTAATTTAAGTAAACAAGAATATAGTTTTATTTTTTTTCAAGTAATGCTCTGTTCCTGTGACCGGAAAAATGATAGAAATCATTTAGTGTAGTACTATACATATCTGTTTAATGAAGTAAAGTTCATACTCATACTGAACTTTAATTTACACTTACTAGTAAAGTTCCTACTCTATAATAATGTGGAATGTAATTCTAACATCATATTATTTAATGAACTATAAATTTAGGCCCAGATCAAGAATTCTCAGACAGCCTTTACCTTTACTGGTTTTCAAATGTAATGTAGTTAGATTTATGGAGCGCTTTATATCAAAATAGACTCAAATCGTTCAAGGTATAAACTACCTCTTGCAGTCAATAGGGAGTTTTTGATTTGCGCAATGACACAACGCTAGAACGGATTCACTCATGTGTGACCATCCTGCATTCTCTGCACAATGTAGATTTGGCCAAATTTCATCCTAGAATCCATGCGACCACGAGAACTTGACGTTCTCGCAAGCACAGACGACTTTATTTCGTTCTATGTCCTACCGTCATCATGCAGTCAAAAGCTCCCAAATGGTTCAAATTTCAATTTGGGAAACACCACAATATTATTTTTTGTTGTATGCCCATATTTAGTCAGGATGTGCCTATATGTGGTCAAGATGCGATGTCATCATGAGCATATTTATGCATGTCTCATGTTTGTGTGTTTTTGTTTCTGTATAGATTCCAACTTGCTGCTTAAGTGCAATCTTAATTTCCAAGAAGACGATGAAACTAGCTGATATTGGTGAGGTGGGTTTAAACTTTTATTATTTCATTCATTTTATTTGGACTTGAACTGCCCTGGGTATCCTAAAACAGACGAAGTCATGATAAACCACACTCATCTAGTTGATTACAAACACTCAGCATTAAGAGGTTCAGCATGTATGGTATATCTTAAAGACCTACTCATGTCTGTTGACCAATACTCAAACCATATTCATGTCTGGTGAACAACACTTAAACCATACTCATGCCTGGTGACCAACATCAAACTATACTCATGTCTGTGGACCAACACTCGAACCATACTCATGTCTGGTGAACAACATTAAACCATGCTCATGTCTGGTGTCCAACATCAAACTATACTCATGTCTGTGGACCAACACTCGAACCATACTCATGTCTGGTGAACAACACTCAAATCATACTCATGTCTGGTGACCAACATCAAACTATACTCATGTCTGTGGACCAACACTCAAACCATACTCATGTCTGGTGAACAACACTCAAATCATACTCATGTCTGGTGACCAACATCAAACTATACTCATGTCTGTGGACCAACACTCAAACCCTACTTATGTCTGTTGACCAACACTCAAACCATACTCATGTCTGCTTACTAATAGTGAAATCATTCGCTTGGCCACCAACTCTTAAACCATACTTTTCATATGGCTGTGGATGGCAACTGGCTTCATTCACACACCATTAAACATTAAAACAGGGTAGGGGAAGGAGGTGGAGAAAATCTTTCTCATTAATTTTTCTTCTCATATTCATTTACATAACATCTTCAGTATTGAAATGTTTTTTTTCATTATTTATGTTCTACACCCACAGCCTTTATGTAATACTGTACAGAACTCTACTTTTCAATCATCACCGCCCTCGTACTTTTAATGCTTGTTGCATGAATTATTTTATTAGTTTCCATATTAGAATCCACTTCCATTTTGCGTGACATACATATGAGAATTTGCTTATCGAACTCAATATATTCAACCTATATATTAGCCACTTTACGACATGAATGTTGGAAGCCGTAAATAGAGCCAGTTAATAAAGATACAACTCTGCTCATCTATTAGCAAAATATTAGTTTAAGGAGCCCTGGCAGAGAGCTAACTACATTGCTTAAGGGAACTGATTAAGTTCTGTGTTATTGACATTTGTGTTTGTCTTGTGTGTTGGGAAATTTGGACGCATCCATACTGTGTATTTCTCAACATGTGCAAAGATGCATTGTGGGTGATGAAGTGATTGTGTTTTACATTCAGACATCGTGTGACTAATGTAACACAAGTACTAATATAACAATAATAATTTTTATATACTATTGATTTATATGAAGGCTTGCAATGGATGTGCCTATATATGGTCATGATGTGATGTCAGCATGACCATATTTATATATGTTTCATGTTTTGCCATATGACAAACTTGAGACATGCCTAAGTATGGTCATGATGATATCACATCATGACCATATATAGGCACATCCTGACTAAGTATGGGCATACAACCGTTTGTTGTAAAAGAAAAGTTAAGTAAGGCTCTAAGGCCCCTCCGTCGGGCATGTCGGACCCCTTGTTGGCAAATTTCTGGCGCAACCGCTGTCTACTGCACAAACATTTTCCAGAATTAATCCATTTTCTTGGACATATTCAAATTTTTTTCACAATAATATTCGCATTGTCCTAAACTCTATTTGGCATACAATCCCCCTCCTCCTCTCCAGTGGCGTAACTCCTATGTGCTCTCATGCGGCTGTCTGCAGGGCCCCCACCCCAAAATTCTAGGTGCCCCGAAGGGGCCATACCCATAGGTTCCTCGATCTATAGCACCCTGACCAAAAAGGACTTTGTTGATAAATAACACCATAATATGTGTCTCTGAAATCGACTTTAGGGCATATATCATATTATAACGATTAAAGAGAGGGGAGCCTGATGGGTCCCCCTCTCGGCCTGGGACCCCACCAAATTTGTCAAAAATAGTAAATTAAAAATGGAGATAAAAAGATTATAAACACAATTTTAAGTCTGTGAGTGCCATTTCCGGCCATCTAGACGTGTGAGGGTGGGGGTGGGGGTGGGGGAGTTGCCGGCCTGGAGCTACCGGCCAGGGGCCCACTAATTTTTTCAAAATATTTTATAACTGGAGATTTAAAAAAAAATTATTCACAATTTTATGTCTGTGAAGTGACCGGCCATCTAAAGGTGCCATATTCATACATTTTCTTATCTCAGCCCCAACCATGGTGGGTCTGAGGTGGTATAGACTCTCCAACTGTGAAAATCCCTCAATGGCCTCAATTTTCTGGATCAATATTATGACATTTATTCGTCGTTAAAAACATTTAGAATAACAATGCGCATCTAAAATCCCAAGATGGATTTGGTGACCGGGCCCAAAAAGGGTCCCCAGTTTCATAAATACACAGGGCCCCTGACCCCATTGTTACGCCACTGCTCCTCTCCTACACATGCATACACATTCCTTTCCCCTCTCACATGGTCCCAACTATACATTGCATAACACACATTCCCTGCCTCTCCTACGCACTTCTCTATGCCAGTGTCCTATGTTATGCAATAGTAGCTTATATTACAATTCAAAACCATGTTTTTTTTTTATTTTGATTGAAGGCTGGACGTTTAGAGTTGAGTCAACGGTTAGGGTTAGAGGTCAAATGTGCTGTGTTCGTACCAGTAGTGAACCTGGCCACTGGGTCTGCAGTAGGCATCGCCTGTGCATTTAACAAAAAAAATAATCAAAGGTAACAAACTTTCTAACATATTCACAGTCATTTTTTTAATCATTTTTACCAAAGTACAGAACATACAATACTCTCTTCTTTGATCCTTCTCCACATTAACAAAGAAAAGATAATGATTTAGTAATATATTAAGGTCGTTTTTTTGTAAAAGAGTACATATGGCAACACAGTCAACCATTGAAATTATGAATGGTGTCTTATTTATCTTGATCAATGATATGTCGTAATTCATTTTATACTGTTTTTAAAGTAATTTAATTGCGCACGCACAACACAGTTAGTGCCCAGCATTACTGTCAAAATGTGAGTGCTCCCCGAAGCCCAAAGCGCCCCCTAGTTTAGTTACTGAACCGGTAAGTAAATGGGTCCTATTCCGTCCCTGATCATGTGCGTTTGATACATGTTTTGTTTCTTTGTACACATCATGTGTGTTTAATTTTGTATCTTGGCAGTTACACACCATTTGATGAAGATGTGATAACGCAGTGTTTTAGATACACAATCCCAGTCCTAACCAGTACATTAGCTTTACAGATGGAACGCAAACTTAAACAAGAAACACAGGTATGCGGTAGTGGATTCAGGGGTAGGGGGAGAGGCAACTGGCCTGCCCCACCTCCTAAATTCTCCACAGTAAAAAATATAATGGAGAAAAGAGAAAATTATGTTCAAAAATAATCCTTATATCTTAATTCCCTTCTTTCCCCCCCCCCCCCCCTGGAAAAAGAGGAAAAAAACCACAATTCATAGGGGAGAAACAAATGATATATATTTTCTACATATTAGTAGATTATCTATCTATAAAATTGATTAAATAAGCTTCTGAAACCCCTAAATTTTCATATTTTTAGGGAGCTTCTACCCCTGGACCACCTTCAACACATTTTGAGCGAAACCCAACCGCGCCCACTTCTGGCCACCCCAGTATATTTCCCCCATAAAATTTTACCTTGTCCCTCACTTGAGCCCACCCCCCTCCCCCCCAGATTTCAGACTCTGATGCCGCCACTGGCTTTAATCATCCAATTTCTCACCTCAGCTCAACCATGGTGAGGTTGAGGTGGGTGGATCTGTCTATCTGTGGAGTGGAGTTAAATAGCTTGGTGGTTATCAATACTTGTCCTCTAATCCCAGGGTTAATCACGTCATTTCGTATTCTTAAAACGAACTTCGACTAGCACTACGACTAAATCATGCGAACCTCGACTAAAATGATACTTCCGCAGGCTGATTTTTTTAGTCAGCCTAAGTTCAGGCTAAATCATCGACTTGAAATATTTACCCCACTAAAAACGTGATTTTTGTAGCTCACGATAAAGTGAAACGAATGGAAATGATTATATAAGTAGGTCTGATGTATCTTCAGTGTAAGAAAGAAGACATTCAAGTTTAGCTTTCAAAACGTGAAATTAAACTTTTTTGGTAGGCACATGCAATAGCTCCTGATTTGCATGAAATTGCCTCGCGTTGCAGTCATGTACCTTCACTCTAACAACAACAAAAATGGCTCCGTCCTCGCTTGGGCTCAGTTATAATAGTTCACCAAAGAAAACAAATTTTCTGTTTAATTTCTTCATCGTTATATGTTAACGATTAATGTAGTTATAATGATAAAAAGTTAATTAAGTAAATGATAGCCTATTATACAAATATTTACTTGGTTGAGGGGCATAGTTCAAATTATAGCCCGAGGTAATCTGGAAGCTGTACTATGTCCCAAGATGAAGTCCAGGGACATAGTACAGCCTCCAGATTACCAAGGGCTATAATTTTAACTATGACCTGATTAAAATCCCAGTTTAAATCTGGAACACTCCCATTTTATCAAGATACAATTGGTAAAAAATGTTTAAATTGATATTAGAAATTGATCACTTAAAAGGCTCATTAGTATTACAATGTTTTTCCTAATATATTATTACTAATTATTTAATTTTATAACTTGTAGAATTGTGCTCATAATGAACACTTGGTCATGCCACATTATTATTACAACAATAATAGAAAAAAGATTCGTAAAATTAGTTATTTTATTAAGATAATGTTATTGTCCATGCCGAATGAATACAATTTTGTAATATGAAACCACTTTGTTCACACATTCTGCTTTATGTATATTAATTTTCACGTGTCCATATCCATTTGATAACTCATCTGCCTAATTAGGTAACCCAAGTAATTAGCCAACACAGTTATCCATTCATGCATTTAGTCATATATTATTTACATTCATTTTAAATTCCATCAACTTCATCTAATCAAGTTTGCTATCAAACCATTATTCCATAATTTTTGTAACATTGGGCTTGTTTTAAATCTTGCTTGTATTTACGTAGACCTAATTAGGAACAGTATATATAATAATAATAATAATACCGTATTTATATAGCGCCTAACAGATCACAGATCCCTCTAGGCGCTTTACAATTCTTAATTTAATTAAATTTAATTTATGGTAAAAAATATACCCCGCCGGATACCAACCCGGTATTTCAGAGTCAAGATTTCGGGGCAAGGAATTTCAAGATCGACCTTAACTATGTTCACTTAACTACAATATGGTAAAAACTATCCCCCGCCGGACACCAACCCGGTATTTCTGAGTCAAGGTTTCGGGGCCAGGATTTCAAGATAGGGCACTTAAATAATAATAACAATAATAATAATAATCACAATAATAACAAATAATATTATAATATAATATTATAATAATAATAATTATTATTATTATTATTATAATATACATTATAATAACATTAAAATGATCATATTTTTTTACATGGATGTTGAAGGATAGTTTCAGTGTGGCTTATCCAAATGTCAACTGCTTGTATATTCCTTCCATGCAACAAAGAAAATTCAAAATAAACTCAGAAAAAAGTTCTGGCTTTTAGAATAAATTATTATTTTTTTTTTTTTATTACCATATTTCTGTTTCAGAAAGGTCAGCTGATACCCAGGGACCCTTTGTTAAAGTCTGTATATACACCTATGCCCTTAATATGGTTATGATGTCCTCACTGCATGATCATAAGACATACCATGACTATATATGGGCATACAACAGTTTTTTGACTGAAGATCTTAGCATGTGAACAGAGTCTAGGTGGAGATTGAATTTGAACCTTGGACCTTGCGATTGCAAATATATATCTCAACCACCAAGCTTGAACTCCAATACAATTTGTTCTTGGATATCTTTAATGCAAAACCAATTTCAAAATTTATTGGCCTGTTAACTGAGTATAGTTATTATGAAATATTAAAATAGTTTATATGATTATTAATCAATCTGTATATTACAAAAGATCAAAGTTTAACAAAATATTTTTTTTGTTTTTTTCCGTGTTTATATGCATATTTTATGTTTACTGTATATTTAATTTTTTTTTTTTCTTTTGCAGTCTTTACTTCAAATTGCCAAGAACCTATTTACTCACCTCGGTAAGTTATGGTTCCAGGCCGAGTCTTGGTCCAAACACCCCCCTGAGATGCGTAATATTACTGCTAAGCTTGACTTGTTAGCAACTTACCCATTAGAAAAAGTAGAACAGCTTGAAAAGCAGACAGTAGAGCAAGATAAAAATGGAGTTAGCTATTCCAACAGCTACATAGAGATATTACAGGCACAGGCAAGCTTAGCTAATAGACTAATGGGTGAACTAGATGAAGAACAAAATTGGGGTCATATCCATCCCAGTCGAACTCACGAACCGTACCCTTCACACATGACTTCTAGTGACCTGCACCAGATGAGACAGGAACGATTAAGTATTCTCAACTTGGGTTATCCGTCTGGTACGACACGTATTGCAGATGTAGTAGAGTTAGATGGTGAACCGGATAAAGATGATGATAGGTCACCTATGGGAAGTGATGACCAGTACCAAACTGCCTCTCCTGGGGAAGACAGCATCAGGTACCCTCCCATATTGCTGAAACATCCAAACTCTTTGAAAGACACACAAGAGAGTAGGTCAAGTCTTGAGGTTCTGACCGGTGGTTCAGAGGTGTCGTCTGATTATGGCGATACATTTGACAGAGGTGGGGAGGGTTTGTTTGATTGGGGGCAGCATGCTAGTCAGAGTGAGCAACGTGAGCTAGGATCAAGTGGTAGATTAGAGCAGAGCCAGGCGGATTCATTTGCTAAGATGCAGGATAGCACGGAAGAGGTTATGAGGTCAAGGAATGAGGAGTCTGCACCATTGGATTCTGATCTAGGAGACCGGCTGCTTCGATCTCAGCAGAGTGTTCTTGAGTTGAATTGGTCGCCCAGAACGTTGAGCGTTCATTGCATTTCACAGCCACCATCTTGCAGCAACCTGAGTTCATGTATGTAGGCTATGATATTCCAGTTTTTCAATTGCAAGAGTTCAGTTGCAGGTGTTCAGTTGCAAGTGTTCAGTTACAGGTGTTTAGTTGCAGGTGTTAAGTAGTTGGTGTTAAATTACATGTGTTCATTTTCAAGTGTTAAATTTCAGATGATTGTTTGCTGGTGTTAAATTACAGGCTTTTATTTCCAAGTGTTAAATTGCAGGTGATAATTGTCTGTTGTTGAGTTGCAGGTGTTGAGTTGCAAGTATTAAGTTGCAGGTGTTGAGTTGCAGTTGTTCAGTTACAGGTGTTCAGTTGTAGATGTTCATTTGCATATGTTGAGTTTCAAGTGTTTATTAAGTTTGTTGATGAAGTTCAAACTCACTTTCATTACTCACTCTACCAGTCACTATTTTGTTTAAATGTTATTGCTGTTATATTTTTATACTAATATTAATTTTTCAAATTTATTGTTTGTACAAAATTATAATAATACTGTAGTTATAAAACAAGATAATCTTCAATAACAATTATATAATACTATATAGCAAGTATTAAAAATTTAATGAAATATAATTTATATTGTAGTATGGTGGGCATTCTAAGCAAATTTTAAATATATTATATACGTTTACAGCTGCTGTTAAAAGGGAAAGATTGATGAAGTATATAATGTAATCAAGTAACTTGTAGGTAACATAACTAATAAATTAATTAATAATTAATTAAATATTTTGAGAATCATTCTATGTAATTTCTTCTATATTTTTAATGAAAAATTTGAATATCCATTTTCAATTCATTAATAGAAAATTAGTGCCCTAAAGGTGATATTTTTTCAAATAAGTTGTCAACTAAAAATAATAATAAAGAGATTGAAGCAACTCATTTTTAATTATACAATTGTAAGAATTAGTTAGGATCTATTATATATCTGTCTCTTATACACATCTAGATGTGTATAAGAGACAGATATATGTATGTATGTATTATATTACTTATGTGTTAGATAATTGGCAAGAATTTTGGTTAATTACATAATTTCAGTAAATTACATAATGTTATTTAATTACACAAAGGTACAATTTTATATTACTGCTCCAAATACCAATTTCCTTTTGCAATAATCGATAATCAATAATCGATAATCAATAATCGATAATTTGTTTTGCTGATTATACGTAGTCTGAGATAAGTGCTGACACATTTCTTGTTAGTTTAAAGTCTGAATCCTATTCCTTTTTCACAATAAATATTCTTCAATCTATTGAGTTTCAACATAATGCACTGAGATTCAATAACATAAATGTCATCCACCTACATATATATTTAATTTCTTGATAATAGCATCACAAACTATTCAGTAAGCCCTGATATTGTGTTTCATGTACTAAATCCAGACATTTCGTTAAGTTTCTTTCTTTTTATTTTTAAGATGACGACACCTTGTTGCTACGGGAGATAATGCAAGAAGCTAGAAATCTTACACAAGCTGAAAGGTGAGAGTTACAACTGTATCTATAGCAACATTAAACTGTTAGCAACTGTAACTGTGGCAACTATAACTGGCAAATGTAATAACAAATCATTGTGAAAGTATAGCAATAAATGTAATTTTAACCTTGTTCTTATCCCACGAATTGGTTGAAATATTCAACAAAAGTTGATTAGTCATTAGTTGATTGATTGATTGAACGATTGCTTCATTTAGGTGCTCACTATTCTTGGTGGAGAAGGACATGCTAGTTGCTAAGGTATTTGATGGCAACGTGAAGGAAGACTGCGCGGAGGTGCGTTTCCCCATTAATCAAGGCATTGCAGGACATGTCGCAACCACTGGTAAGATACATTATCACACTGTGTAACGTTCTGGCATTTTGCTCATGGAGCATTATTACCTCCGCCAAAGAGGTTATTTATTCACTGCTGTTTGTTTAGATTACACAAAAATTAATGAATGGATGATCATAAACATTAGTGGAAAGTCCATAAAAAAAAATTAATGGAAAGGTACATAATGATCAAAGAAAGACCATTCAATACTGAAATCACTCTTGTATTGATACAGTGCTCAGGAAAACAATGTGCCATGAATATGAGGGCGATTCCATTATTTTATTGAGGGTATGCTGCACTTTTGCCCATCATACACAGCCTGTGTATTGTTATTCAGGCACAGGGCAGTGGTATGCACTCCATGGAGTTACTGCTCTAGTTATTATTTTTTGTTTTCAGATGAAACATTTGGGATAAAATATTGTATAAGCATAAGATAATAAGATTATGATATTAGTGTACCTTATGGTAATAATATCTATTGTCTTTATCTATGGGATCTACTTGACAAAACAGAATATATTCAGGTATATTTCAGAAATAAATTTTGAATTACAGTTGTTATTATTGTTGCTGCATCAGTTTTGCTGTAACATTATTTGAACCAAGTTCTTGTAGAGTATTGCCCATAACGGCTGCTCATACAAAATAGATCTGTTAATCAGCCGAGTGTTTCTAGAGCTCCTCATCGGAATTAATAATATATTTTTTGTTTGATTATGTCCTTGTTGCTTCCATTTACAGGAAAAACGTTGAACATCAAAGATGCGTACTCTCATCCGTTATTCTATGCTGGAGTTGACAAAGAAACTGGTTTCAAAACCAAGAATATTCTCTGCTTTCCGATCATGGATAATTCAACCTCTAGCTCAAGTAAATCTTACTTATTTATTTGTTTATTTATTTATCTCAACAATATTTTGTGAGGGTGGTCCATCCAGCCGCGGCTGATCATTAGGAACCCTCAAAACCCTAGAGAGAGCAGCTTAGCTCAGTCGGCTAATCTGGTGGTAGTTACTGTGTGCGCGCTGAACCGTAGAGATCTCTAGGTCCCCGGTTCAATTCCCATCACTGCCTCTCCTTGTGTTTCAGCTAGAGGGCTGAAATACAAGTTACAATAGCGCACCGTCTTTCGGATGAGACGTTTAAGCCGTTGGTCCTGTTTGCATTATGGCCCATGTGCACGTTAAAGAACGCAGTACACTCTTCAGAAAAGAGTAGGGGGTTGTCTCCCGGTGTACTGTCCAATCACCACCAGAAGGACCCCACTGGAAATAAGTCTTCTAGACTTTGTGGGCTATCCTTGGTGTTTACACCGAATAAATCCAATCTAATCCAACACATAAGGAAATGAAATAGATATAAATAAAATAATAAAAGATGAAAATTAAACTAGATCTTTAACATAACAAATTATTTAAGTTAAAACAGAAAGATGTAAAACCAGAAAATGTTTTTAAAATAAGGATTGAAGGAAAACATTAAAACTGAAACAGTAGAAAAATTACTACTAAGAAAATTACTAATAAACTTACTATGTATATAAATTTGTCTAAATCATTTCTCCATAATTATCCCTTTAATCCTGAATAGAATGATAGGAGGCAATTTAATACTCATCCAATTTTAATGGAAACCTATTAATATATGTGCAATTCGTTCTAGTCAATATGATAACCTCATTAAATATAGTTGAAGTCTCTTTTATTTCCTCTAATATCTTTGAAAATTGTAAGTACAATTTTTAATTTACGGGTGTAAATATACTGTACAGTGTGTAATATATTGGCTATTCTGTGACTCTCTTTTTGGATGTCTAATTGAGTTGAGCAGTTCTAAATTATTGGTTTTCATTGTGAGGTTCTGTTTGTTTTTCTGTTTGAGGAGTGAGCTTTTGATTGCGATGGTATGACGTAGATCGTAACGACGTCACATAAAGTCATCTACGCATACAAGACGTTAAGTTGTAGTTGTTGCAAGGATCGTAGGACACATTTTGGCCAAATCTATGTTGTGCAGATAACGTAAGACAGTCACGCATGACTCAGACACACTTTATTACATCCTCTTGCGGAAAATCGTAGATCCATCAAAACGTTTAAAAATGTAGATGAATTTAAAGAATTAGTTAAAAAAGTTAAGTGACCAAACAAACTAGCTCCGTCGCCACATTAGCAGCGCCACCTATATTGAGCAAATTGGTTGTAGTGTTGCATGGTCATGCAAGTCAGAAGCTCCCTATTCTCTTGTGCAACTTGAGTAATGCTTGCAGGGCAAATGTGTTATTAATTTGATTATTAAATTATATTTATTGTTGTAAATTGTCTTATTAACCAATCTTCTTATCTTGTTAATTTCCAGAAATAATAGGAATTGCTGAACTATGTAACAAAATTGATGGTAAGTGTGCAAGATAAATGTTTTACCTATTTTGAGTATTTTATTTTATTAACTAGAATAAAATGAATTATAGGATATCGATTTTTCAATTTTTTTGTTTTTTGATATCGAGATTCTAAACCCAATTTCTTTCAGAAACCATTAGTTTAAAAAAATGAATATTGATTAATAATGTGAATATTGATTAATGATATGAATATTGATTAATAATATGAATATTGATTAATAATGTGAATATTGATTAATAATATGAATATTAATATAATATAATAATTATGATGTCTCACGCAGGCTTGTATTTAACTAAGCACGATGAAGAGGTTGCAAGTGCCTTTTCTGTCTACTATTGATTTTTCAATTTTTTTGTTTTTTATATCGAGATTCTAAACCCAATTTCTTTCAGAAACCATTAGTTTAAAAAAATAAATATTGATTAATAATGTGAATATTGATTAGTGATATGAATAATGATTAATAATATGAATATTCATTAATAATGTGAATATTGATTAATGATATGAATATTGATTAATAATATGTATATTGATTAATAATGTGAATATTGATTAATGATATGAATATTGATTAATAATATGAATAATTATTAATTATGATGTCTCACGCAGGCTTGTATTTTACTAAGCATGATGAAGAAGTGCCTTTTCTGTCTACTGCGGCATTAGTATCGTTCTTTCAGAAACCATTAGTTTAAAAAAATGAATATTGATTAATAATGTGAATATTGATTAATGATATGAATATTGATTAATAATGTGAATATTGATTAATAATATGAATATTAATTAATTATGATGTCTCACGCAGGCTTGTATTTTACTAAGCACGATGAAGAGGTTGCAAGTGCCTTTTCTGTCTACTGCGGCATTAGTATCTTTCTTTCAGAAACCATTAGTTTAAAAAAATGAATATTGATTAATAATGTGAATATTGATTAATGATATGAATATTGATTAATAATATGAATATTGATTAATAATATGAATATTAATTAATTATGATGTCTCACGCAGGCTTGTATTTTACTAAGCACGATGAAGAGATTGCAAGTGCCTTTTCTGTCTACTGCGGCATTAGTATCGTTCTTTCAGAAACTATTAGTTTAAAAAATGAATATTGATTAATGATGTGAATATTGATTAATGATATGAATATTGATTAATAATATGAATATTAATTAATTATGATGTTGTCTCACATAGGCTTGTATTTTACTAAGCACGATGAAGAGGTTGCAAGTGCCTTTTCTGTCTACTGCGGCATTAGTATCGTTCTTCAGGATAGAACAGAATCGCTTATGCGTGACTGTTCTACCGGGCGTTCTGCATATGTAGATTTGGCCAAATTGCGTCACAGAATCCATGCGACGAGGAGAACTTAACAGAAGCAAATTACAACCACTGATTATCAAAAATAACATGAATTTTTACAATATAGTATGATGGATTTTGTTTTTCTACAGCACCTACATGCTGTCACCACGACCAGTGGAAATCAAACTTAAAACTACAGTACATTTTTTTTTAAATAAAGATACTTCATTAATACTATTGGTTGTGTGATGCAATGTCATGTGCCCTCCTTGATGTAGCGCATGTGCCATTGAATCTCAATACAAGTTTAGCTATTTATTTGTTGGTGTTTTTTTTTTTTTTTTTTTCTAGATGTGTCAGAGTTTGCTCTATACGAGGATGAAAGATGCTCAATACCGTAGTAAACTCTCAAATGAACTAATGATGTACCATATGAAGGTAAACATTTTATAAATTATTAAATAGATGAATAAATAAATGGGTTTTTTATGCTTGGCTCTGTCAGCGACACAATTGATACAGCAGATATGCCCACATTGTCTTTTTTAGCCCACTAGACATTCATGTTGAAGATATTCAAGGCCCTAAGTGATCAAACCCAAATTGAAATGTTTACTTTCTAGCTGGGTCTTGATTTTGGGGTCTAAAGGGTAAAAGGCATAAATCTTACCCTTACCTCAAGTCAACATTGATTTTGTTTTAAAATTAAGGGGTTTTTTTTCTGTTTCAATTTTAATTATAGCATTTGAGTAACAAAGAAGATAGGTGAATTCATGGATTGAAACCATTGAATAAATATGTACTTGCAACTTTTCAATCTACTATCTATAGAACTTTGTCAGGCACTGACTGATATGATGTCACCAGCACTCTTAAGCGTCTGATGAAGTTCTACCGGTAGTAGATCGAAACATTGCAAGTGCGTATTCATTCATAGGTTTCAATTCATGAATTTACTTATCTTCACTAATTGGAAACTTAATAAAAATATTTGAAGATTTGAGTAACAAGTTGCTTCTGTTTTTTTGTCCTTTCCATATGAATTATAGAGAAGCGAGGGAGTGGTAATAATCGTCTAATAGATTTTCCTTCTTACGTACTTGTGCAGCACACAGTAAACTCACACCTTCAATTCAATTTTCTTAATATTTAACAATTTTAAAAATCTATCTTTCCATAGTCCATTCTTATAATTTATTTTTATTAAAATTATTATAATTATAATAATAATTATTATTAAAACAATTAATCTAATCATTATTGTTATAATTATTTGTTGAAGTATTAATTTGTTTTAGGCTCGTAACCAGGATCCCTTTAAGGGGGTGTCTTTTTGAGAGTTAGAGGTACAGATAATGCCTGGAGAAGCGGGTCGGGTCTAGGGAAAGAGGTCGTATTAGGGTCAGGGATCAAAGCCATTGGAAGTGAAGAACGCTAAGATTTGTGATTCTTTTCATCCTTTTGATGCCAGGGAGTTTTGGTTTATAATATTTTCCTCCATTATCAGTGTCAAATTGAAAAGGGTGGTTTTACCAAACCATAGAAATCCCCTGGTTGCGGGCATGTGTTTTTTGTTGGTGTTTTTTTTTTTTGTTTTTTTTTTTGTTTTTTTAATTGGCGGTCTAATTTGCTTATTTTGGAATTATGATATAGCTGTTATCTATCTAAATATTTTGTTTTGTTGCATGGTTGTACTTAATATTCTCTGCTTGATTCATAAATTTTTTCAATTTGTTCTTTGTTAATTTTAGGATTAGAGATGTTTTTATGTATCTTAATTATTGTTTCTGCAACTTCTATGAATTTTAATAATTTTTTATGTTTTAAATTTTTATATATATTGCTTGGTATACTTTGTGAAAAGAATATCATGTTATGTTATTTGAGGATTATTTATCACCATGATAATAAGCACTCTTTATTCTTACTCTTTTATCTGATACCCACTATCTTTTGCTACACCAGTTTACCACCTAGAGGAATATATCTAAGTATCCAATGCAGGGATTGGCATAAAAATTAGTCGGAAGCACCCATTTTTTTTTTTTTTTTAACTCTGGATTAAGAAGCTAGTTGAGATGATGCATCTAGATGACAGTCGTACAGCTACTTCCTTCATTTCCCCATAATTAAGCGTTCATATGGAAATTTTAGCCAGATCATGTGGATGATCGACTTAATTAATTTTTCCATAGTTCAGTGTGAACCCACGTTAAGTATCAGACGATTAGCATTAACTGTGACCAGTTAATGATGTGAAACCAACTTGGCTCATATTGTATAAGATCTCATGTCATTGCATTAAACATTTCCAGGTACATTCCAATGGTACACAAACCAATTTTAATAATTTATAAAGTTTTATTGGAGTTTATTACAAATTTTCCCTACCTGAGGTGTTAATAGTTCTAAATGCTCAGTATGTTCCCAAATGCTTGCGAAAAAAATCTTGCAAGTGGTTCGGGTGGGAATCGAACCCAAGACCTCAAAATAATTAGTCTGTTGTTTTAACCGCACAACCACCAAGCTTTTGCTATGTGGCTAGTGATGAATCTCTAAGTAGCTACTCCGATGGCGTTTTTTGTTTGTTTTTTTGTTTTGTTTTGTTTTTTTCGTCAGGAAAAGTAATACAAGTCAAAAATTGAAAACACCGTCAAAATTGGATTTTATTCTTTCACTATCGCCTTTCCAACTGAAGATGCTTTCTTCTATATTTTTTTTACAAGTACCACTAGCTGTAGAAACAGTTATAGCTTGGGTTTACTTGTTGATTTATAAGTTTATATATATTAAGGTTTTTATGGTTTATAAGGTTTTTATGGTTTATAAGGTTTTTATGGCTTTATTATTCGAGAACCAATAAAATTGGCACACCAGTAAATTTATTTCACATTACCTTTTGATGACAATTTATTGATTTGTTTCCTAGGTAACTGATGAGGATGGTCTACTCTACAGTGAAGAGGTGAAGCCTATTTTGTTTTATGATCCTCTTATAACCAACTTTACTTATTCACCTCGTGGAATTCCTGATCAAGAAACCATCCTGGTAATAATAACATTAACAACTACTTTATTTTATAACTCAGATAATTATGTGTCACATGAGTTTGTCCAGGCCTTTCCCTGACTTTCTTTGGCAGCTAGCCCACTGGTCTAATTTACTAGAGATTTTACTAGTCCACAGACTATTTTACAAGCCATATTTTCTTAGGCCTGTATGTATGTATGAAGGAAATAGCTTGCTTAATTTTAATAATAATAATAATAATAATAATAATAATAAATATGATTTATATTTTGCAGCATTTACAGAACATACAGAATTTTGAAAATGAATGTTGAAAATTGTAGATAACCCCTTAAATAATAAGACTTTCAATATTTTATAAATATTATTTAATTTCGTATATTTTATTGGCACAGAAGGCCCAGAGCCTGGTCCACCAACAGAGCGCCATAACACCACAAGTGGCCCACAACCCCTGGAATATAAAATGGTGCAATAAAGGTTATGATTAATTAATATCTGTACAGTAGAAGCAACTATTCAAATTCATGAAACATTATACATTGTTAAAACAATAGAATATAATAATCATTTATGGAAAATTGAAAAAGTAATATATAATGTGTATAATTACACACATTACAAGCAATTATTCAAATATTACAAGAAATTATTCAATTATTCAAAATTATAGAAACATAAATATTAAACATTTAAAAGAAAAACATATAAGACTCTATTTTCTTTGTGGCTTGTTTAGTTTAATCAATTTTGGTAAAAATTGTAAATGAAATATCTTATTCTACACCTTAACATAGGTTTGTTTGAGTATGTTTGATGACATGGGCCTATTGAATAGCTACAGAATAGATAAGAGAACTTTAACAAACTTCTTTCTGATGGTGAAGAAGGGGTACCGTGACCCCCCTTACCACAACTGGTATCATGCCTTTACTGTTGGCCACTTCTGCTATTTGCTCTACAAGAATATTAACAGCTTGAATTCTCTCAGGTATGTACCAATAAACATTAATAATTGTTAACATTAACATTATTAACTTATTATTATTATTAAATAATTATTAATTATCTTTAACATAATTATAAATTTACTGGTGTTATTAATTATTAAATAATTATTTATTATTTTTAACAATTATTAATTAATTATTATTAATTATTAAATATTTTAAACAAAAATTAATTATTGTTATTATTTATTATTTTATAATGTATATATAATTTTAAAAAATGAAATGTATTGTAATGTATTTTTAAAAGTTTTTTTCTGTGGTTTAACATTATGTGCAATATTTGTTTTTGTTTTAGTAACGTTAGAAGTAATTCAAATTTTATATAATTTTATTTTTTATATTTATCGTATTTTGATGAAATTTTTAGGTGTTTTAAGTTTAGTAATTTTTTTAATGTGATATTTTTTTTATATTATTTATTTATTTTTTTTTTTTTTTGCAGTTTTGTGTATATTATTTAGATATTTTTATATTTTCATAAATACTTGTAATTTTGGGCAAGATGAAGGTTAACTTATTTTACCTTGGTCAACTGGTAGCAGCCCCATTCTGACTTTGATTCAAACAAACAGAAAATTTTACCTTGCCCGAGGCTAGTGATAGATAGCAAGAATTTTGTGCATGTATGGTCAGTCTTAAGCTTTGTCTATACTGTCAAATTACATCAAAAGATGTCACATAAAATGTGATGAAACAGAGTTGAACATGTTCAACTTTTTTTTATACAATTTGATGATATGTGATATGATATTATCATTACCATATATGGGCACATCACGTTTTTCTGTCACATAAACTTTGATAGTGTAGACAAAGCTTAAGTTGTTAACTCCATCCTCTCACTCCCCTTTCCACATTTGCGGCCCCAGTAACGGCTTATGCCATTGAATTGTTTATTTTTATAGGGAAATTGAAATACTTGCACTATTTGTAGCTTGCCTTTGTCATGATCTTGATCACCGTGGAACAAACAACAGCTTTCAGGTTCACTCTGTGAGTATTAATATTTGTTTGCTTTTACATAAATTGTTTACTTAAGTAAAATTGTTAGTTGGTTTTCTCAATCCCCTTTTATTTGTGTATTTTCATGTTTGTTTTTTTATTTAAAAATCCAAACTATTAAATTTTATTTGACAAAAAACATGTGACATGCCTAAATATGGTTATGATGACATCACATCATGACCATATATAGGCACACCATGACCATATATAGGCACATCATGACCATATATAGGCACATCATGACCATATATAGGCATACCATCTATGTAAATGTGCATACAATAATTATTTTGTCAAAGAAAATTGTAATCTGAACAGCTTCAATAAACTATTACTATTTCTTTCAGGATTCTGTGCTTGCCGCCCTCTATAGTTCAGAAGGATCAGTAATGGAGGTAAAATTTAAAGATTGTCATATTTGATTCAATAATGGACATTTGTGAAGTGTCATTCAAACTTATCTGACCAATCAGAGCAGGACCAGGAATATGTGCATCCTTAGCAACAATATCCAAGGGGCGTGGCTTAATAGAAAGGTCCATTGAGGGCTGAGAAAATGATACCAAAGAAACATTTGTAGAAGTGGTTGGCGCATCGGTTGTGGCTTGGACTCCCAACCTTGAGGTCGGGGGTTCGAAACTCTCGCTGCGCAAGTCGCTTGTGTCCTTGGGCAAGGCACTTTATCTACGGTTGCCTCTCTCCACCCAGGAGTACAAGTGGGTACCTGGTAGGTTCCAACACTGCGCTGATTACTAGCTGCAATATTATGGAGATATAATTTAATTTAGTAATTTCGTTTAGTGTTCACTGTGATCCATATGTGTTTGATCCAATGACCGGGGGTAATAATGTAAAGCGCTTAGAGGCTTTGTTAAGGCATTAAGCGCTATATAAGAACGACATATTATTATCATATTATTGATGTTGAACAAATTATGTTATATTGGCGCCAAATTTGGCAAATGCGATGGCGACAATATTATACTTTCAATGCACACAGATGTCGGGCAACAAAATTTATATGATTTATATATGATATCTCCTTTGTATAGAAAGATGAGGTGGTCCTTGCAGTGGTGGATTCAGAAATTCAAAATAGAGGGTACCCAAAGAGGGGCCTTCACAGATAGACACCTCAGCCCCGCCGTGATTGGGGGTGAGGTAAGAAAAATTAAGATTATGTCGCCTCTAGATGACCGAAAATGGCACTCTTAGGATTTGAATATCAGTTTCATTTTTTTTCCATTCTTTAAAAGTAATTTTGAAATATTTACGGGGGCCTGGGCCACTGGGTCCCCCTTGAATCCGCCACTGCATGGGAAAAACCTCTAACGCTCAGGTGACCTAGGGTTTTAAAACAAATATTGCTTATTACGGACTTACTATTTTCAGCAGTATCATATTACATAGCTTTCAAATCCTTTTCTTGTGCATAAAATGGACACACACATACTTCATTAGTTCATATTTACTAGTTAATTATGTACCACAGTTGCGAAAACATATTTATTTCATAATATATATTAACAGAGCAGCCACTTCTATTCTAAGCTATATCACCAGTTTTCAGCATCATAACTACTATATAAAAGCCAGTTAATAACTCATTTGTAACAAAATTTAATTGTGAATGCATAATATAGACACACCCACATATTATCTGAGCCATAACATTGCATTGAATGAAGCTAAAATGTTACAATTTTACAATTTTATCTATATATGTATTTCAATATACTTTAACCAACTTTTATTAATGTTTCAGTGGAACTAGTAAAACATTATCAAGAGTTGTAACATATATTTTGGTTGAATTTAATTTTTTTTTTTTTAATCACAAATTTTATATTCAGTACTGGTACGCTCTTGTTTGTCATGGAAATATGGACCTATCATACCACCCCACCCACTGGATATAATACTGGCTGTAATACAGTACTATATTTTTAATTAGATATCTTCTCAATTTTCTAGTATTGTTTTTTTCTTTTTCCACTTCCAATACTGATTTGAAATTCACATACCATTCCTGTCGTTGCTCTTCTTTTGATACCGTATTCATTTGCAGTGTCTCAGTGCTCGGTGGTCATTTCTGACTTTTTAGATGTATGAAATTCCACCTTTTGAGTATGTTTGTAAGTTTTAAGCTCTAGATCTACAATTACGTTACCAACCCTAATAAAGAACCAAGTTTGTTTTCATAGCATTCGTTAATATAATAATTAATTTATAAAGTAGTGTTAATAGTTAAAATAGTAAGTTTATGCTTTAGTGAGATTTTGAATAACAAAATATAATTGAAGAAGGTTATAAGAAAAACGCATATATCCTCCCTGTGATTGTTCTTGATTAACCATACATTGTGACATAAATATAAGTGCAAGTCCCCCCCCCCCCCCCCCCCCACCCAA